TCTTCTTCAGTTTTCAGCGAATTCATCAGAGTCTAATTGGGTCAGAGTCTTCTGATGATGATCAGAGATTTGCTGAATCAGAGTCTTCTGCAGCAGGTGTGCTTTCAGCGTGTTAAATATCAGAGCATATTTGAGACAGAACTTCAGTACTGGCAGCTTTAGTACTTTCGGAATCTTCTGTAGAAACTATGCTTTAAAAAGCTCTTTATACAAAATTCTTCTTTGCTTCAGATGTTCTGACTTGCTTCAGATTCTTCTGGAGCTTCTGCTTCAGAATCTTCTGGAGGCTACGCTCAGAATCTTCTGTTGGCAGCAATCAGAATCTTCTAATGAGTGCATCTGGCGCTTCAGAGTCTAGCTAATTTCTTGTATTCAATTCTGATTTGCTTCTGGAGTGTTAATTTCTTTACTATCTGCAGTAAAAACTCTCAAGCAAATTTTAAAGTATATAATTCTTAAATACAAAATTTTATAATAGTTATCATCAAAACATAGAGATATTATTAAGAACCAATCTGTGTTCTAACATTAGCATCGTCGAATTAATCATCAGTGTCATCATCGTAGTCACTGTAATACTTTATGGCAGCACCATCGATGTCACCACTGTAGATAATGTCATCGTCGAGCGACTCCGTGTCGTTAACATCGTGGATATTGTTCTTATAATTCATTAAAGAAGGAATAAAATAAAATTTGAGGGAATTTCTGAAATCAGTATACAAAATCGGTGAAGTGAGAGAATGGGATATAATCTACGGCAAGAGAAAATTGGAAATTTGAAGAGAGAAAATTGGATATAATCTACGGCAAGAGAATGGGATGTAATCAAATGCTTCAGTGTATTCTGACCATATGAAGATCCATTTTTAAAAAAAAGCTAGGAGCAATACTAAAAATAACCTCATTTCACCACGGACGCGAATGAGATATAACCTCAGTTACACATGCGAGGTAACAAATGGCGACATGAAAACTTGTCACTTTAATCCTCGAGTTTTTAAATAACCGATGGAAAAGTGGCACTGATCATGGGTTCGTTCCTCATCAACTGCATTTTTTATATTTTCAAAACTACGCTACTTTTTACCCTGATTTTTAACAATAACTGAGGGGTAAAGTCCTATTTAAAGATTTTTAGTTTTAACCTACTTTTTCTTCGTTTTAATATATAAAGCATCAAATTTGTTGAAAAATTATAAATCTTCCTTCTCATCATCAACGAAAACACCAATAACAACAACAAAAACAAAATCAATAGAATCCTTAAACATTAAATCTCTACAACAAAAACAACAAAAATAACAACAACAACAACAACAACAACAACAACAACAACAACAACAACAAAATTCATGGAATCTTTAAACATTAAATCTTAACAAGAACAAGAACAAATAAACAAAATCAATAGAATCATTAAATACTAAATTTTAACAACAACAACAACAACAACAACCATATTAAACATTTTACTTGATACAACTACAACTAACATTAATAAGTTACTTTCATGTTTTCCTAACTAACATTAATTAATTTTAACAAGAAATTATTAGAGAAATGATTACATCAAGAAACCAACCTTGAAATATTTTCATGCTCTTGCTTTCATTATCATTATTTTCAATATATTAAGTTTAAATTTAAGCATTTTGCATCCAATATGGATAGTTGTGTCATTCACGATTTAATTGGTTAGTGAGAGTTTCACATGGATCACTAAGGTTTCATGTGGATTGATGATTTGTCAATGTCTTGACCATTGTTACTTTACAAATGGATGACAAAGATTCATTACTTGATTTTTTTTATCAAATTGGTCATAAATAAAAATAATAATAATAAAATACGCTACTTTACCCATCGTTTTTGGGCAAAACTGAGGTAATATGTCATAAGAAAATTTTAAAAAAATTAAAATGTGATAAAATGTAGTTTTTGAGATTCAAAGATACGTCTTATAAATACTTTATCCCTCAGATTTCTGCAAAACCGAGGTGATATGTCATAAAAAAAATTTTAAAATTAAAAGGTGTTAAATGTAGTTGATGGCATTCAAAAGCATGTCCTCTAAATAATTTACCCCTAAATTTTCAATTCAACTGAGGGAATATATGATATTTTTTAAAAAATGTGACGCGTGTGTGATTTATACCTCAATTTTTTGTTAGGCGAGTTGAAAGTTTTGTTATAAAATATATTATTTGTAATAATGGAGAATAAGATATTCAATTCAACATTAGTTGATTATGTGAGAAAAATAAAGACTGGGATATCTCTGCAATTTATAAACACTTCATGTAACACCTATATATAATACATGTCTAAAATTGTACATATTATACATAGTTGTAAATTTGGTATTGAAATAAATAAGTTCCTAGTGACACATTGTACATATTACATGCCCAAAATAAAACAACTAAAAGTGGCACAATATATACAAGATGCCCAAAATAATACTAAAAACTATATCATTATGGAATTATCTCAAAATAACATCTTCAAGCGGAAAGTCATCCAAAAAGATAAGATAAGTAAGGACATCAAGCTACTTGTCCTTACACTTCGTCGAATCGGTACCGCCTAAAAAATAATCAACAAAAGGGGGTGAGATAATGATTCCAGTGGGATCCCTATCTTTAGGTTCTCTTAACTTTACAAGGTTCTAACTAGTTATTAGCTCAAGCCATAAAAGGGGAAAAGTATGCTTGAGTCCCCAATCTTTGCACTATATGGAAACATGTTGCTTGAATTCAACAACTGAAACCATCACTAATCGGAAACCATACCAAGGTATCTTTTCCGTCCGATCCTACTTCTAGGACTCTCGACACGGGTCACAGATCCTTGTATCTTACTTTGACTACAAATGAATTTGGATTCTAAGGAATAACATCAACCTTACGAATCGTCGCTTCCTATGGGACTTCCAACCCATTTTAAACCTTTTACCCGTAGCCTCCATTCGCTTATGTAGACTCAAACCTGTCAAAGTAATGATGCGTAGATCAAAAGGAGCTCTATGTAAGAATCACTCTTGGGCCGACACAAAATGGGGTTATTTCCGATTACATGATCAATAAGGATATCGTGATTGTATTCGACAATCATAAGGAAGTCACATCACCTTAACATTCACAATAATACTACAGGCTTTATATAATGTCTCACCTCTCCACTAGACAACTACTTGTTAAAGACACACACCTCGGCATCACTTGCACAAGCATTTCCATTTAAGTCATCTATCATGTCCTAATCATCTTACTAGTTCATTTCACTAGTTAATATTAAGGATTTCCTCACCATTCTTAATCATCTTTAGTCATGTAATCCTACATTTACAAGCAACTATTCATGGATGGAAAGCATGCATAATAACTGTAATAATCAATATAAAAGCAACTCACAATATAGTTAAGCATGTATATGAAGCAACCCAAATAATTACAAAAACCAATTGTTAAAGTCTTGTCACAGTCGCCCAGCGAGCAGCCAACGAGGCTGGTTCACTTTTGGTTTGCCTGGCGAATCCTAGACAAGGGGCAGGCAGAACCAAAAATGCTTCATGGTCTCCTGATGAGCATCAGCGAGGTAGCTCACTTTTTGTTCGCCAAACCTCGCCCAACAACCGTAGCAGAAAAATAGGTTGCCTCGGGCACGCGCGGTGACCACGTCATTTTCTGCAAAATAACCAACAGACGCAAGGCAATCATGGGTTTTTTTTCCACCCAACCTCACATTAGTTCCAAACACAACCAAATATCAACACACAATGCAACATTTTAGCACATGCAACATGAATAACAACACATATGTAAGGTTTTCATGGAAATGGAAGAATCATAAGTTAACAATTCAATCTCTATTCAAAATCTTACATCTCTAATTTCTACAATCTATAGTATCTAGCTAGAACCCACCTAGTAATGACAATGAAGAAGTTGGATGATGAAAATGAGATGATGTTGATGAACTCCAAGCTTCTTCTTCTTTCCTCTAGGTTGTCTTCCTCTTCTTTCTATTTCCTTTATTTCTCTCTATTTCCCATTTCTATCTTTCTCTATTACTCCAACTATGTTGGAAAGGAAAGGAAAGAAAATGATACATAGAAATATCATTTAGAGCTAGTAAGATCAAAATGGCAAGTGTGGTAGAAAATGATAAATTTAGTAGAAGAATAAATATTGAGTGGTATAATGCTTAATATTTGTTCTATTAGAATAACCGACTCTTTATCAATGTTATCAAAATGTCTCAATTATATCACTTGATGAAATGTTAGTATTGAATAATATTAATTGAGTAAATATAAACTCACTAGTTATTCTAATTATCGGTAATTGATAACTCTCTGAGCTTGTACGAGATCAGTTAGTCTTAACTGATATTATTTAGAGCAATTCTGTTTTAAAAAAAATATTACACTTCATAATTAATTTTAAAACAAAAATCATTAAATAAAATGACAATTAAATAAGACAAATGACCAATTCTCAATCAACAGGGTACCTGTACCATGCAAACAAAAGGGTAGTTGAGAATTTGCCAAGTATAAAATAGTTCAAAGTCCTATATTACATTTTTTGAATTCATATATCACATCTCTTCCCATTTTATATTATTATAAAAACTATAACTTTAATAAAAATAGTAAAAATCCGCATTGGACCCTATCTGTTATTTCACATTAAAATGTCCCTTTATTATATAAAGCATACAAAAGATATCCTGCTAGTCAAATAGTGTGCCACTAGCCAAGACAAAAGTTTGACCATGGACCCATAGAAATAATTAAATTGAAGTGTTCAGTATTGAAAATTTCAAACTTATGGCTTGTATTTGTCTTCAATAAGTCTTACATACTACCTTCTCTATAAATAACCTTCAACCTTCCCATAAGATCGATATTACAACAAAGCACAGAACAAACCAACATTTTCTACTATAACCAAGCTTTCGCGTTATTAACTATTCTGAAAGAACACTCTCTCATGGCTCTTTATGCTGCTAGTTTCATACAAATGCCACTTCTGCGAACAACCTATTATAAATCTTCTCCTACAAAATCCATGACTATTATCATGTAAGTATATATTTATTTGATTAATGTTTTCATCCAGTAATCATATATTCATATAATGAATTAACATTGGATAGTATTCTATGAATTAATCTTTTGCTTTTGTTGATATGATCAGAACATGTGGTAACCATAAATATAAAGCTAAACGAGTTGATAGAAGCAGAAATGGAGGGTATGGACCTGGCCCACAGACAACCAGTATTAAACTCCAAAGCACAACAACGACAAGAAATCTTCAACTTGACAACATTTATGCCACTAATACCTTGAGTACTGTCAATGATGAAGATGATCACAACACAAATCCTAAAAGGATCACCAACATAGATAATCATTATGAAATATGAATTGAGTCTGCATCTAGAGTGTTAATTTTGACAAAAGAATCATCATGATATTCATCAACAAGTTGTAATCATGTAATAATAGAAAGTGCTGTATAGAATGTATTTACAGAATAACAATACAAATTTAATGAAAATTCTTTAAATCAAGTAGAGAAGGATTAAGAAACTGCTTGTAATATAATTTATAGATAAAGTTCCATAACGTATCATGTGTTCAAATCACCACATACAGACAGTACCGGTAGCCACTTATTGCCCATATATGCTGCATTTTGCACAATACACCATACACTCATCAATATATGTCTTCTCCAACAAAGTATATACCATCCCCTTTTCAAATCTGACCAAATCTGACCAAATCACATAATTTTTTAGGTGTATATAAAATCCCTAAAATATTTTGCATATACTTCGAATAGATACCTCATTTTTGTTAAAAATTAGTCTGAAATTTAATCTTCAGATATATTATGGATTACACTTACCAGAATTGTAATTGAAAAATGCATTTGCTTGTCACTGGGGATGAATATCATTCTTGATGTTTATTCACGATCAAAACACCTGTACGACAACGTTCATGTTACCACATCCAAAAGATCCACCTTATTAGAATCTATTCTATTAGGCACTATCTTTTTATTTTCATTTTTAAGCTACTTTTCACTACGGTTAGGAGTTTGAACCATGGTAAAAAGAGGCGCATGGTAATGAGTTTGAATCTTGTTGTCATTGTTGTTTTACTGTGGCGTTATTTTATATTTTATTAAAAGATATACAACAACGGTTGTATAATACAACTGTTGTTGTATGTAGCGCATGTCCATGAGTTTGAATCTTACTGTTGTTGTTGTTGTTCTACTGCTGCATTTTTTATATTTTATTAAAAGATACACAATAACGGTTGTGTTGTAAATTATTAAGAATTAATAATTTAAAGTGTATTACAAAATGACAAGAAAACATACAAGTGAAGATTGATTTTTGAATTCGAAAAGAAGCAACATTTCTTGAAAGATTTTGCTGCAGAATTAACATAGGCAATGGTTGGAAATATGACAACTTTTGGTTAAAAGGTGTTGTTTCATCAATGGTTGCTTTCTTGTAAAACAACACATGCATGGCCTATAAATACTTCATTTAGAATTAAAAAATCACATCACAAAAAATCGAGTATCCTCTTTTACAAAATTCCAAACACTCTTCGCTACATACTCGAGTTTTCGTCAGTCTTGCGCAAATTTGATATAAGGCTGAATTATCCTGGCAATATAAGACATACAAGAGAGTGCTTGAAATAATTTTAAAGAAGTAACATCATTCCCGATTCTAGCCTCGATCCATCCAATTTATATTAATTTTTCACAGGTTGTTTAATACAATTGTTGTTGTATGTAGCGTGTTTAGAATTCTCTCAGGGTCATGGGAAAATATAAGCGTATATATTGAGTTCTTCACTTTCCTTAAACAAAGTTTTTGCCTTCCATTTAGTGAGTATCAACGCTCAAGAACCTACCACTAGTTATCCGCGTGAAACCTAAAACTTAGACGAACTTCCAACTTATATGAACTTCGTCTTCTACCTCCAAACTTTATCTTTCATTTACGACACTCTATTTCTCCATTAAATCAAGTTCAAAAATATTATTTGTTTCATTAACAAATTTCAGAACTCCATAATATCTTCTCTAACTTAAATGAGATAAGAAAAGTATGGATTCAAGTTATCAATGTTAGTTGTTGTTGTTCTTTTTTGGTTATTGTTGTCATTGTTGTTCTTGTTGTTATTATTTTTATTCTTGTTGTTGTTTTATAGTTGTTATTGTTGTTGTTATTCTTCTTCTTATTCTTATTCTTATTCTTCTTCTCTTGTTGTTATTGTTGTTGTTGTTGTTCTTACTTTTGTTGTTCTTGTTGTTATTCTTGTTGCTCTTGTTATTTTTCTTGTTGTTATTGTTGTTCTACTGCTGCAGTTTTTTAATTTTATGAAAAGACATAAAACAACGACTGTTTACTACAACCATAGTTGTTTGTAGTGCGCTATCTAGTTTACTACCAAAAGCAATAGGTTGTGATTGTAAATAACTCACATACAACCACACCTTATCTAACAATGGTTGTTCATCCTTTATTATAGGTCTTTCGCAATCATTGTTATATGTGTTTTTCGTAGCAGTGCTCCTTTCATTGTAACTTAAGATTTTTACTTCAAAACAATATTATCTATTTTGGCATTAAAACGAGAAAAAAAACTTAAATTTAAGGTAATGTATATGTATTACATTGATTATTATTTTAGATCACCAATTTTTTTGAGCTAAAATATGTATGTTATGTCCGGAATTTAAAATTTGGATTTTGTCACATTATGTCCATAAATTGAATTGTCTTTTTCTAATATGATTGATTATAGTTATGGTCTACCATGATGTTGTCTCCACCATTACTCTATTTGTAGATGTTAAACCGAGTGATGTTTATGTTGATGTTGGAAAACAATTTACAAATAAATAATAGTTTCATATTGTTAGCCTTGAACTTCGACGCCCAGGTGGAAACATTAGGTTTTTAAGTTAAGACAATATTTTCGACTATGGTGATGTTGCGGGGATTTCGACCAGACGATGGACAATTCGACAGACAAAAATCTTTGAAGTTTGAATTCGAATTCTGGAGAGAAATACAGTTATTTTTCGCCAATAGAAGGAGGCATGTGGCATTGTTTCAAGTAATCAAAGCATGCAGAGTGACATTTGGTTTAATATCGTCCATTGAGTCATTAGGAGCGGTTATGTCGACTGGCTATAAATAGTGGCTCAATTTAGGATTTTTGGGGTGTTCATGTTGTAAAAGTCACTCAGAAAATTACTCAAAGTATCCAAGTCAAAGTGAGAAAAGAGTTATAACTGAGAATGTACGTGTCGAAACATCATTTCTTTATTGTAATGCATTAAATGTTCTTCTTTTCTTTTATAAGAATCTTCCTTTACTTTACTATTTTTATGCAAGTTATATTTCTTGGTCTTTACCTTTTACTTCGAGTTTCTATCGTCTTCGCCCCAAATTGCTTTTCTTTTCTACTTGTTTTACTACCAAAACCTTTTTATTGTTTTAAACATTGTTGAAGCATTTGTCCTTCTCTTTTAAGATTCCATTTTATTTTTAACTCAGATTAGCTATGTCCTAGGATTTAGTGTGGTTGATCCTGCAAGTTAAAACGAGTCTTTAAGATTTGTTAGACCAGCGGTTGTTCTCCAAATTTCACGGCGAACAAATTGGCACGCCCGGTGGGACAGTGCTAATCAGAGTTTCTTGTTAGAAAGAGGAAAAAAGAAACACTTTTTAAAGACCTCTGCGTAAATGTTTTCATTGTATGCAGTTAAGGAGTGGTAAGATAACCACTAATAACGAAACTCGAACTAAGAAAGGATTTACTAGGAGAATGACATCAAATAGAAATCAGCCAAACAGTCCTCAGGATCCATATAATGGTAACGATAACACGGAGCCTCCTGTGCCACCTTCGACAGAAGGGCAAGCGGGTTCTATTCCTATTTCTGAAGCGGTTCCTACTATGGGGACTTCGATGCCTACGCATTTGATTACTCATACGCAACTAATTTTAACATACATTGGGCCAAGACGCCTCCATATACCCCACCTCTAGTAGGAACTTCCACGTATAGGAATATTCTCCCACCAGGGTTTTCGATGCCTTTGTCGCAAGACCCACCATATGGTATGCCAACATCAGTAATGGCAAGCCTCCAAAATGCCCCTCCTGCACACGTATAATAGGTGATAACTTCGCCATTATAGGGGTCAACATCTGGAATTACCGTGGGTCGAAATAACCAAAACGTAGGATACTCTGTCCCAACACAGAACCTAACAGTCGGTTCTGCCTCTTATTTGAGACAACAAATGGATGAAAGTAACCACCAAATGGTACAAATGATGTCCCAAACTATGGGAGAAATATTTCAACCCCTTATCCAAAACACTACTCAATCTAACCAACAATTGGCAGCAAAAATGACGCGTTTATTTGATTTCTTTGGGGTACCAAACCCTCCTCAACACCCGCAAAGGGAACACATGAGAGAAAACTAGGGTTTAGCCTTCAAAGATGACCTCACTATTAACTAAGCCCAACACCACCCAGGGAACGTGCCCCAGGAAAATAATGTTAATCATGGGATAGTCGAACCTTCTAGAAATCATTTCCAAGGTCCTAGAGAGGAACCTCCAAGGGTAATGATGGTTAATAAAAACCAAAATATGGATAATGTCGTACAACAAGTCTAGCGTAATAATGTAGCCGCATATAACAACTTGGCTTCCATGGTCGAACGGATTATGGCACGAAATAGAGTAAGTCTTTACTTGCGGAGGTCAAACTATACATCGCCTTTGGTTGAATATATACTCTAGTCAGAGTTACCTTTGAGGACCAAAGTCCCTAACTTCACTAAGTTCTCAAGAGACTCTATTGAGTCTACTTTCGAACACGTGGTCAGATATCTGATTGAGGCAGGGGAAATTGCTAATGATGAGAGTCTTAAAGTAAAATATTTCCCCTGTTTTTTGACTAAAAACGCTTTCACTTGATTCACCATGTTACCTCCCAACTCGATCCATGACAGGACCCAGTTAGAGTGTCTATTCCATGAACAGTTTTACATGGGAAAAACGAAAATAAGTTTAAAAGAATTGGTTAGTATAAAACGAAAGGTTACAGAGCCTATCGAGGAATATTTAAACCGGTTTCGACTTCTCAAAGCCATGTGCTTTACACAGGTGCCAGAGCATGAGTTGGTCGAAATGGCCGCTGGTAGCCTTGACTATTCAATTCGAAAGAGTTGGATACCCAATATTTAAGTGATATTTCCCAATTAGCCAATAGAGTTTGACAATTAGAACGATTAAAAGAAGAAAAATTTAGGGCTAATAAAAACAAAAGCGTGGCCTTTGTCGATTTTAACGAAGAAGATGAA